AATGTCCCCCCCCGAACCCAACGCCTTTAGCTGAGAATATAATAGGCCTAGCTTATTCAATGACTTCAACCTCGAAAATAATGTTTAAATAATATTATTATCTTTCGCTAAGAAAATACTGGTTAAAGTAAATTGGCGCAGATCGCAGCACAGAGCATCTACAGAATCAAACTTTTTGGGGGGACGCGACCCAAAGCCTAGCTCAGAATAGCTGATTCAATGACTCCAACATCGAAAACGATGTTTAAATTATTTTCTTTTGCTAAGAAAATATTGGTTAAAGTGGTCAGAAATGGCTTCAGATCACACCACAGAGCATCTAGAATCCAATTTCGCGCTCGCATTAGTTCTGATCCAGGTATGTCCCCCCACTTTTGAGAAGCGATTCACGCCCCTGCTAAAAGTTGGGGTATCGTATCGTTTGTCCCACCCACTTTTTCATCCCCGAATACATCTTGTAGAGTACAGTTTGATTTTAGAGTTTTCAGGATAGCTGATTCAATGACTCCAAACTCGATGTTTAATTAATCTTTTACGAAATAAATAGGTTAAAGTGGTTAGATATTGCCCGAGATCGCACCATGTAGAACATCTAGAATCCAAAATGTTCCGGGGCCCTTAAGCGGGCCCCTGACCCCACGCCACGCATTACTTTTCGTCACCCCCCTCTTTGGCCTTCAGCGTAGGCGACACAACTTGCCTTCACCACTTGCTGCATGTTACATTTCACACACCCCCTTTTTGGACAGTCCTAGTTCCGCCCCTGGTTGGGGTTTGTACAGGCCGGTCGGACTTGGCCCCCCCCCTGCTCCAAATTCCTGGCTACTCCTGTGCGTGTGGGGCACAATCTTCAGTCAACGTGACCGTCGCTGCACGGTGAAATCATTTTGTGCCGGCGTGGATGGTACCCTGAAGCACAAAGTTATTTCTTGACACTCGTGCGGAAAGGAGCCCTGCTGATTTCCCTCAACCTCGTGCGCACGGGACGGACAAATTGTATGTTGTTCCCCCCCCCAAAAAAACATACTTAGACCAGAAAGTAATACCCGTAGGCCAGGATTTTTCCGGGGGTGAGGCGGGGGGGGGGGGGGCAAAACACTTCCCCCAAATCTTTGTACTTTCTCTAGCATATTATTTATTTATCATTCTTTTCGAGGGTGGGCGGGGACATTTTGCCCACCCCACCCCCATTGACAACCCTGCAAAGATACACAGTCATGTTTACGTTACAAACGTAGTGTGGACATTCTTTTGTTTTCGTGTAGATAAGAAAAACCTGTGAAAAAAGCTAATTTTACTCACACTTTGAAAATTCTTTCAACCTAATTTTTTTCTATGATTCCCTTTGGTGTTTCTCTTCATTTTAGTGCCACATATAAACCTAATCCAAAAATTCCTCTGAACCTGTTTTGCAGAGAGGGGGAAAATTGTGTGTAGTGGGCAAGTCCACACAACGTCGCCTCTACCTGGTTTATGTAGACATATTTTGTTCGGAAGTCCACACAGTGAATGCAATGCTTGTACACACACAATGTTAAGTGTATTTTTATTATTTGTTTGTTTGCTTTTCCGGGGGGAAGTGTCCCTCCCCCTTGCCCCCCCCGACACCCATGGTAATACCATTGGACTTTTCCAAAGACAAATGGGACAAATCCTGGAGAAATTGAGAGAAAATGACACTGTTTGGACCCCTGTAAATTTTCAATGGGCCGCTTTCGCTATTTGCCTTCGGGTCCATTTATGCGCATGCGTGCATGAATTTGCTTTTATTAGTGACTGGTCTCCCTGCGACAATCTCTTTTATTGTTAAATACGGAGCTCTGATTTGCCTAAAAACATGGCCCATTATTTTGTTCTGTCTATAACACCAAGAGAATCTCAAGACTTTTTGTTTCACGCACTCCGTAATGTATAAGTACATGCTTTCATAGTAATGAACCTACATGCAATTTACATGTATGTGTTCATCAAATTTAAGTTTTAATAAATATCGCAGAACACTACTTCACATGCTTAAAAAGGCGAAAATCGCGGTGGGGAGGGGGTGGGGGTGGGGCCTGGAGAACTTTCCCTTCCTCCCGGGATACCCCACCGTGGGAATAGTAGGCTACCGGTATCCTGACTAATTCCTGCCATCTTGCTTGCCGTCACAGGAGAAGCACAATGGTAACGATTACAAACGAAATGGGTTTTGGATTGGCGAAAAGGGAAAATGAAACCTCTAATGCAAGGCACCACGGAGATCGACCTTCAATGGCTGAAGTAAATATCACCAGCTAGTGTGTAACATTATGCCATGATAGTTTATCTTACAACAAAACTTCCTATCAAATGAATACAATAGATAGTTATTGGTATCTAGCATTATTTGTATGTCATCCAGATTATTGATGTAAATCAAATTAGGTGTTGCCCTCCACTGACGTATAAACACTATATACTCAGTGTGTTACCTCCCGAGTGAAAGTCGGAAAAAAAAAACTCGGGTGGGACTCGAACCCACGAAATCCTGCTTTCTAGTGCAGATGTCTTGCCACTCGACCACTCATAACTTGAGGTTACTCGTCGGTGAAGGGCAAAATCTAATTCGATTTACATCACCAAGACGCAAAATTCCATCTTATGAATAGATAAATAATTGATGGTTTTATAGTTCATCGCATGACTCGAATTATCTAAACTGAACGAATAACGTGCTGACGGCAATATAGAAGCGGATGTATTAATTCCACTTGACATCAAGAAGGGATGTATAAATGTTCGTCGCTGTGAGGTGATGGGGGGGGGGGGGGTTAAGTACATAAAATTAACGCGGTCCTAAAGGGCAATCCACGTATTTTTTTGCGTCATAACTTGATGTTAACTGTGATGAAAATCTTCAAATATCTAAAGGCAGTCGCAACAGGGACAACTCGGCAGAGACTACACAGATATCTAACATTCAGCCTGGAACAGCTTAGACATCAACCAATAGTCAATTTGGCTTTACAAGAGCCATTTAAGTTTACCATCCAATTTCCTTCGATGCTTTATTCACGTGAAGTATAGCATCCCAAAAGGGTGTATAGACTTTTTCCCTGCGTAAAAGCAGTAGTTTTCAGGAAAACATTATGACAGATTCGAATGTTTTTAACACACGATTTTGTTTCATTTACATGCGTGACAGAAAAAGTGCTGACACCAAAAAACTCAAACAAACAAACAAACCCAGTGGTGTTTGATTCATATCTTATGTTTTTTCCTATTTTGAGGAAACTGTATGCGACGGTGTGGTTTGAATTAGGAGAATGGTCTCGAAGATGGATAAAGTGTCTTCTCATTCTCAGAAACGTCATAAGCTCCTCACCAAACGAATATTGTTTAACGGATCCGTATATTGACCATTTTGAAACTTCCTGTTTGCGTCACTGCTATAGTGTTCGAGATAAATTGTTCCAGTCATTTTGTTAATCATTTTCAAATCAGCGGCTGCATTAAAACCGCGTGCTGTGTTCTGTGTAAATAATCACAGGTGTATCTGATATAGAGCATTTATTGGTTTTCAGGGCGGTTCAAATCTATCACCTGGTCAGTTCCCACTTATTACAAGTTTTATCTGCCTCCGATATTTACCAAATAGTTATATCACTGGGGCTATACGACTTCTTTCGGGTAATCTTTAAGAAGGCAAAATCCAAGAAACTGGCGTAAGTCCTCCTCCGGAAACCACTCGTAATCCCTTGTAAATAAAAAAAGTTACAGTTCCCAAGTTTTCTGCGCAAAACCTATAACGGCAAGATGATCCAAATTGAAGACTGACTTCGTGTGGGTGCAATGCGCACCGTGGCTATAGTTTATCACAATCGGTAAGACTGTGAATTTATTTGCCAAGTCAATTAAAGGCCATTGCGCATAAAGTGCATGCTGCCGCATCCACCGACTTGTTGTATTTACTCAAATATCACACCAGCTAATTCAACATCGATAAAGTTGAACAATGTTTAATGACGATTAATTATCAATTGTTTTTTTAAGTTTCGATTCTCAGTGGATGATTTGTTTCATATTCATACAGCTGTTTCAAGCAAATAACCAAAAATTGATTAATCTGTCGGAACTTAATATATTTTTGAGGGCAGATCCAAAACACAATTGTTTAGGGGCAAAAAGGTGCGTCAAAAACAATTACGGCGAGGGCTTCGGGGCCCGTTTAAGGACCCCAGATTTTTTTTTGGATTCTAGAAGCTCTGTGGTGTGATCTGAGGCGATTTCTGACGATGACCACTTTTGTTTAAGGCAGTGGCTGCCTTTTTTGCGACGTTACTTTAAAATAATAATTTTTTTTTTTTGGGGGGGGGGGGGGGATGGCCCCCTTTGCCCCTCCTTCGGAACCGCCGTTGCTTAGGTTTGGAACGGAAAGATGGCTAGGATATGAGTGGGCTACATAACATTTTATTTCTGTCATGGCGACGTTTAGTTAGAAAAGATGAAAAAATGCCGGAAAGTATAACTCGGTATAGACACTATATTAATAGTATCCGCAAGTTCCAAATGATATTAAGTCTGCACCCCAACACTTGTTGATTTCTCCTGATTGGGCGTGAACTATAGCGTGAGCTTTGTCCTCTATAATCAGTTGTGGCCACGCCCATTGAATGTTAGCGAGAATCCCACGTAGCAGGGTTTCATGTAGAAATCAATAGTTTATTAATCAAACTTTTTATTTAAGTTAGTAATGTTTGTTAATTTTTTCAAAAACAAACGTTTCGCTTTAACAATAGACTGTCGTTGTGTCTCTTGCATGCGGCAGAAGTTTTCCTAACCTTTAAGTTGTGACTAACAAACATTTAAACCGGCCATTGGGGTTGTATTTAACGCCGACACAATAATAAGAAACAAACACCACCTGTCTGTCGTTAATGATTCAGCAACAGGTCGATACGGCAAACAGTGTGGAAGCAGACAGAGAGGAAACAATGAACTCTAATTAAATCAAAAGTCCACAAACTGATGATGTCTGTTTGTGATAACAATGCTTCAAAAGGTATAAATATTGGCGGATTAGAAGGAATTGCCAAGCCCATTTTTGGCATCATTTCACCATGGAAGCAACACGCTTTGTCTTTGCCCTGATTTTTGGACTCCTGCTGATCGGTGAGTTTATCACGGTTTTTGAAATTTTGAATACGACTGACCATTGTAATAAGCGTCAGCAATTTATAAAATATCATTCATGATGACCTATAGGTTTAATTGACTAAAATAATGTGTTATATAACGTGTCCTGGACATAAGTATACCACGTCTGATGGTGAGTTGGTGTTCTTGTATAGTCCTTATTCGCGAGGAAGCCTTTTTGATCGTATTTCCTGAATATATTGTAAACTATTCAAAAGGATGGTGCCAGACTAGTTACGCGTTTGAAGCCTCACTTTCATTTTTTTGGAATGTGGCTTCAAACATAGCAGTCGGATATGTTTAATCACATGTTAAATTCATTGCTGTCATTCTCTTCGCAGGTTCCAAAAGTGAAGATTTTACCTCGCTTTCAATTTAATATGGCCGACTCGTGAATAAAGCCTATACACCTTACGCGTAGCTACCATCTTAGAGGGCAATACCTTTGTTTTACCGGGATAGGCATGAGTCAACCTTTCGCGCATCCGTTGTTACTGAATTGCTTGCTTGCTTGCTTATGACTCCAGTGATAGCTCTCCAACCACTCTATCCACACAGGTCGTGATGTCTTTCCTACTTAAGCATGTATCCTCTGCTAGGAGTGAGGAGTTTGATGTAGTATTCAGATGGTTGATCTCTTGATCTCTTTCCGTGTTTGGGTTGCCATAATACAACCCTGGAGGTAGCTTCATACATTCTCTTTGCAAAGTGTCGAGCAAATCTCAGCATTCTTGGTCTCAGCCTCTCAGAAATTAGCCGTAGTTTCCCATACAAGTGCTTATTGGTGGTATGTGCTTGCCATGGAACATTGAGTGATTTCCGTTGTAGGCTGGTATAGTAATCATCTAGGGCCTTTTTCAGCATTGACGTTAGTGTCCCTTCCACTAATTAAAATAACGATAGATGCCCTCCTATTAGTGTATACTATCAGGTGACATGGCTACCATCTGTAAATAAAGCTATTATTATTATTATTATTACTATCGAATCAGTGATATTATAGCGTTACCGAGAAGTAAATTCCTTCAAAAATGTGGACAATATAAGCACCGCTAATTAGATCATATAACTTATTCTTCAATACAAACTGACTTACAAAGCGTGTATGTTAATGTTGCAGGGGTATGCATGTCCCGTCCAGCCAAGAAAACGAACGTGCGACGTCATAAAGCTCGCGAATGTAAGTGCACTTGAGTCAATCATATGTCATCAATTCCATCTCTATTATAAAAGGCATCAGCTGAATACATGAATATTACACTTTTTATAATGCGATGTGAAGAGTTTTAAGATATCTGTTTAAGTATAATCATCATATTTGAATACATGTGTATCTCCTCGCTTTTTTTCCATGACACCCGAGTATGGCGCGCATAGGTGGTAATTACTCAAGTTATTATTTCAAGATATCTCTAATCATTTCAAAATATCTCGAATTATTTCAAGATATGTTTAAAATATTTTGAGATTTCAAAAGCCTTTGAGTGAATATTTCGAGATGTCTGGAAATCCATGTGATAATTGAAAATATCTCTATTTCAAGATATCTCTAGTAGATTCCAAGATCTCTAATAGATTTCAAGATATCTCTAATAGATTTCAAGATATCTCTAATAGATTTCAAGATATCTCTAACAGATTTCATTATATCTCTAAATCATTTTAAGATATCTGCAAATCATTTCAAGTCATCTCAAAATCGATTAAGAGATATCTCGAAATCAATTTAGAGATAACTCAAAATTGATTTATTGATTTCAAGATATCTCGCAATCATTTTTAGATATCTTGAAATCAATAAATCAATTTCGAGTCATCTCAAAATCGATTAAGAGATATCTCGAAATCGAGTTAGGGATAACTCGAAATTGATTTATTGATTTCAAGATATCTAAAAATGATTGCGAGATATCTTGAAATCTCGCAATCATTTTTAGATATCTTGAAAAAAGAAATTAAAAAGCTACCGCTTTAACTTGAATAAATGTCAATTATGCGTGCCTTACCCGGGGGCGCTTTTGCCGTTAGTCAACGTACAGTCACTAACATCAAGTGTATTGGTCATCTTTGGCCCTACAAATTCAGCTTAAAAAAACAACCCAAGAAATTACCACAATGAAAAACAAGAGCAAGAAAAAAGCGCACATAACACCTCCCGAAAAATACACTTGTAAAAAAAATCTGGTGATTGCTTTTGTTTTTAAGCAACCGTAACATCGTACCTTCTGCCAAACGGTCCTTCACATAAACAAATGTGAAGAACCTTTAACACTCCTAGAAAAAAGGGCAATACAGATTTAGAGATGAATTCAAAAACAAATATGTACGGAAGGATTAATAGCGCAGATTCGGTGAACTCAATCAAAGATAAGTAGCAAATTGATGTTTACCAGTATCAAATGCCTCTCGATTGAATGAGAAAAATCTGGGTCAAATTGAAGATAAGGCTCATCTCAAATACCGCGTTCCACCAGAGAAATATTTCCGATGGAAAGAAAGCAAGCGTTGACGTTGGTATGTAGAACAGTGTGCCCGATGACACACTCTTTACTTGCAGTAGGAACAGAATCCAGATACAAGACCCCAAAACTTATACAAAATGTTTTCTCGTTTTTCTCCAAATGTATAAAGTAAGCACTGAGCTATAGCTTCAACGTGCACTCTAATTACGACTTGAGCAATTTTGTTGATTCTTGCTTCAATCGAAGAAAAAAGTAAAAAGGGCAAATTATTCTACCAATACTTATGGTTTGAGTCATACAGTTCATTGGTGATGCCATAAGCACAAACGGGGGGAATATGAGTACAAGATTAAGTAAGCAATACAAAAGATTCTGCTTACTTGTGACATTATAGATTTTTTTTATAAGGCTTAATATCACATTATTCCCGCAGCCTTCATTATAAATAGTCTCTAACGCAACTCGATTCTCGCAAGGCATCGCTTTTGACCGACTTTACGACAGAATACCTCCACGGGTATGCAAACCTCCCTTACCAGGTCACCATAGTAACACAAAATCGATAAAAAATAAAACACAAGTTCACTTTATATATATTTCTCTTTCGCAGATGCTAGAGAATTAAAGTGATTTATTTGTCGATTTAAGGCGCCCAAATTAACTTACCGAACTTGAAGTTGCAATGTTCCGTTTGAAAGAAAAGCTGCGGAGAATGATGACTGTCCAGAAAACACACAAAGGAAGATGAACACGAAAGAAGACATAACCAAAGGGTGAGGGGGGTTCAGCCCCATCGCACTTTGGAATTGGGTAGACCTAATGGGCAACCCGCAGTACCCTTTGTCTTCGTTCTTTCGTGAATATATCAAAGAATCGTGTTCACATTCCGAGTTCACAATCGTGTTCAAACTCCACTATATGGAGGAATGTACTCACTGGAACAAGACGAAGATCTGATAGATCATGCCTTGATGAACATTTCATGTCGGGTATGTGAAGCTGCTTGACCTTCACTTCCGGGTTAACGGAAGGTCACAGTTATGTGAATTCGAAATTCCGAAAGAAGCTTGAATATAAGGACAAACGGAATTTCTCCTTAACGGTTCAAGCAACGAAGATGGAAGTTTGTAGAAACATGCACCCTTGTCCAAAGATGTGACGAAAATTGTGACGTCATCATGACGTTACCACGTTATCAAGGTCGAAACTTGACTCGATACCTTCAACTATATCTCCGAAACTGAATTGATCACTGTATTCATGTTTGTATGAGGTGGTAGACATTAGCTTGGGCAATGTCTGATACTGTTCGTGAGTTTGTTCTATTGAAATATATTTTCAACTGAGTCAGACATTGTCAAATAAATAGTTCGGCGCCCCATCACCCTGAGTGTGTTTACACCAAGACAAACGCAAGTCTGGCATCTAGTCGTGTCGTGTAACTGATTACCGTAACACTCTTGCTTGCGGCCCTCTCATATTAGTCCACTTTCTGCCTGCAGACGAGTTTAGTGCACCTAGCCAGGCATGCGGGTTCCAATGTAATGATGGGTCATGTATACCTGCTTATTGGGAGTGTGACGGCATTGTCGACTGCAGCAACAAAGAAGATGAAGATCACTGTGGTAAGCTCAACAGTTAACATGTCAAAGATGAAATGGATATAAATGATGGATATAGAAAGTGGATCTCATTGCATCTAAAGCCATGTGCGCATTGAATTTTTTGGTAAAATATATTGTGCACCCATGTCACGCAGCAGGTGATCAAACCGGAGGAATAGCTCAGTAGAGGCAATAAGACATGCACAGGCGCGGATCCGGGGTCCTGCTCTGTCATTTTTTTTTCGATAGAAATTCATGAAAAAAAGTGAACCCCTTTGCTCTGACACCCAATTTTACTGGTAATTATGTCCGCCTTTACAAAACAGCCAGGAGCCAGCTTGGTTAGGGGTATATGTACACTGTGATACAGTGTTAATAATCGTCGGATTTGAACAGCGCCCCCATTGCAAGTTTGGTACGAGCCCCGCCCCCACCAAGCCCCGCCCCCACCAAGCACCTATTGATTTTCGAGTGTCATCCCCCAAATAGAATCGTTAATTTTCTAAATTGTTATTTATCTAGCGATACAAAAGTTATTGAACCCCCCCCCCCAAAAAAAAAAAAGAAAGAAAAAGAAAATCGGTCCGTGAATCATTAATTAATATTATTCACATTACTGGCGATTGAACGATCATAGGCTGGTTCCCGCCCTACAATCAGTGTCGATACTGCTCGGGACGCAGTTTGCTCGTATGTGCCCAAAAAAAACCTTTTTTCCCAGAGGGTTGCAGACGCCCCGCCCTCCTAAAAAAGAGAGAACAAAAAAAGCATTGTTTTGGCTGGAATAAAACATCAAAGTTGGAAATTAATTAAGAGCAAAAATCAAATTTGTTGATGAGGAAGGGAAACACAACTTTCAGAATCACTCGCAGGAACTTGTTTACCAAATTAATTTCAATGTGAATGCTATAATGTTTGCAATGACTCATGGACGGCGATCCGGGAGGGGGTAGGACGGGGATGTCCCCAATTAAATATGGGGCGGGGGAATGATGTCCCCGTTATTTATCCCAGTACACATATAGATTTACCCAAAACGTACCAATTAATGTTACACATTTTTTTTATTATTATTGTTAGATATTGCTTGTTCAAAATTATATCACGAATATTGAAAATTATGAAAGAAATTGGGCGTAATTGCGCATAGATTCATGTACATATCCATATTATTATGTGAATGTGCAGATATATATATCTTATACAGCGCCCTCATATGGTGTCCAGCCCCCCTGTCCCCATCTCCTGTCCCCCTAGACTGTTCCTCCCGTGAAAATATGGGGACCGGTAGCTACCTCCCATCTAAAGCCATTGATTGGATCACCTCTGCGCAAGCGCATCATGATTGTTTATTTTCAAATCGCTTTAAGGTTTTAGTACTGAACAGTAATTTCTCACTCTTTATTGATTTTTGCCAGAGGCACTTTCGAATTCAGCAAAAAATCTAAGCTCATTACCTCTGCAATTGTGCATTCGTGGCGCGGCCTATTGCCATTTTGCAATAAGCTGGTTGCCGGCAATCATTACCGTAGCGACTTCCAATTTAGGAGGCGGGACTCAGACGTACGCACGTCATGCATACAATTAGCATAGATTACACAGAGTTTCGTATTGTATGGAAGATTCACCGCTACTAGACCCCATTTTAAAGTCCAAAGTACAATGGGGTCAGGGAACCTTCCTACTGCCCCCGGCCCGTCCCCGTTTCCCCCATTTTGCCAAGAAATCGCCATCGCTGAAGTGTACCGAACCATTTCCAGATCGTGATCACTCTTCTTAATCCACGCACGCTGAGTTGCTCCTCACTTTTTGTCTCTTATCAAACTGTAGGCGGGTCGAAGTCCGTTCCAGCTTCCTATGGGATCGGCTGCCCACCCTGGATGTTTGAATGCTACGATGGTACATGTCTGCCTGAATATGTCAAGTGTAATGGCTATAACGATTGCAGCTACGGAGAAGACGAGAACTGGTGCCGTAAGTGTTCTCTCCCATTTAGGGCAAGAAGGCTCAGTATTAAACATCCATCAATATTCAAGACGCTAACAATGACGAACGAAATAACACATTATTCCCATGGCCTCTTTAACACCTACAGCGCTCTCAGTGTTTGGGGATGTGAAATCTATGACCAACAAACAATAACATCTTCTCACTTTTTGACCTTTTCATTCACCTTTTAGTTAAACCTGTTTACTGCTGATTGATCTTGAGCTTGAGCGCAATGACCGTTTCTTGTATACAGGTTTTGTTTGTTGATAGATAACACAATATAAATTCTAAACTCATGACAAATTTGTGTTCAGGATTCCTTAGCATGCATCCTGTGCAATAGATAAATGAATCAATATATCCATTAATTTGGTACAGTTTTCTTCTCATCATAGAGATTACCACAGTAAAAGATTGGTAGTTGTTGGTCGTTGAAAGCGTCTGAAATTTGAAGATAAATTGGATTTTTTTCAGATAAGTCATCATGCACGTCGTTTTGGAAATTTTTATTAGCAATATATCATTCATGAAAAGTGATATTTTTTTTGGAAATTTCACAAGTTTTCATGCCAAAGGTATAGAGCATTATGTTCGTTAAGAAATTATTGTTTCAGTGATGTTGACCACATTGATATACAGAATTATCAAACTGCAAACAAACCCTTCAATTTCAAAATCATTCATTTTGGCGATGTTTGAGAACTGCGCATGCGTATTTACCATTTTACTGTCTACAGAGCAAGGCAAACTCTTTCTTCTAGCATAAGTGAACGCGGATCTCTATATTGCGAAAAGATTAACGTGGTGAGCAACTGAGCAAGATGGCCGCCAGGTGCTTTCTACTGTTGCTTTCGAACGGAGCGATCATCCTTGTACTTTTGAAGTCTTGGAGTATATTTATTTATTTATTTATAAAATTTCTTTAACCAGTGTTTCGAACTTCTTGGGTCCTAGCATGGAGCCGTAAGCTCCATGCTCCAACCAAATACCACGCCAGGTCCTGCTACTTACCATGATATCAATATGTACGTCTTCCCCGTAGCCTCTCCGACACCTAAAGGATGCAACTCTTACCAGTTTACTTGTAATGATGGGTCTTGCATACCAAGCTATTGGCTTTGTGACGGCATTGTCGATTGCAGCAACCATGAAGACGAAATAGGATGCGGTGAGTTTATCTAAAGCAGCACTAAGGTATGTGACTTAGTTTGACGAATACATAACGCATATGCTATATGCATTTAATTTCAGTTGCTGGAAATTCGAGGCGGACATACCTCAAACTCAGTGTTGGGATGACATAAAAGAAGGCAAAAACTTTAGCAGGAAGATTGAAATAGAATTAAGAATCGTTACCTTTATCGACTTTAAAAATTGAACCAGATATCTTCCTTGTTTCCCAGCTAATAAGACCACAAATGCACCTTATCCACCTGACCCCGTCACATCCAACTACGGCTGCCCACCATGGATGTTTGAATGCTATAATGGTACATGTCTGCCTGAATATGTCAAGTGTAATGGCTATATCGATTGCAGCTACGGAGAAGACGAGAACTGGTGCCGTAAGTTATTTCCCTCTCCTATATTTATACGTTCGACCAATAGATGGACAGATATTACTGTTTGGCAACCGGAAGGCGCCTGTTCCCCGCTTCCTATTGACAGGTTCATACTCGGCGCGAAAGCGAACCTGAAATGCGAATGTTTGAAGTCAGGGCAAGTTTTCGCGCTGTAAATGGCGAAGGGGGGCTTGCTTGCTGGACACCACGACACTAGGGGGCGCTGTTCATGATTCTGATGTGTATCTTATGCAACTTACGCCCCTCAAACTTTACATCAAAACGGCGCACTTAAAGCTTTTGTACTTTTCCGCCAAAGTTTTTCAATACCATTGCATACATTTTGTTTGTTGGGAAGTTCGAAAAATACAATCCGCCTTTTTGGTTTTTCTTAACGAAATACTGGGGGATGATCCACAAGCCCATCCCCTGGTCAAAAAAGAGGGGAGACATTTACCCCCAATCCCCCGGATTTACGCCCCTGCATGTGCATCGGTCAAACATAACCCGCCAGGTTAAAATATGGACAAAGGAAGACAGTATAAGAGACCAAGTTGTATACTTGGGCTGGTGTGGTTTGTTCGATTGGTTATGATGCTCTCTGCCTGATTTCTAGATTCTACTGGGTTTGTTTACAAAGTAAATGGAAATTTTAATCCATACAGCTATCTTACAGTTTTTCTTGCCATATTATGAATTGTTCACTATCTTTTGAATATTGATCAAATATAAGAATATTATCAATACAAGATTGAAGGCGTTTGGTCCACTTGTGTCTGGGGCTGGGCTAGGTAAATTTATGGAACAATCGGATTTCCTTATAAGTTCGTGGGTTGATTCACTGTGGCCTTCCGGTGCAGCGCAGCATCCACCCACGCGCACCCTGTGGCTAAACTGACCATTCCTTAGATGTGTCTCATTACCAGGAAAGTGTTGTATGGGTTGACCTTCAAAGAACATCTTGAAGGTCAACCCATACAACCTAATAAAGTTAATATAAAACACGATATTCTATCATGGTGATACCACACCGTTGCGCGATGGACGAACTACACCCGGCCAATTTTTACCGAGTCGGACTGATTTCAAGTTTAGACCAAAAGACAATGCAACAACAGCCTCGCTCTGAAATGTACTACACGCGATATTTTAACATATGCCTATTTGCCAAATGATGAAATTGAAAAAAATAGAGACTCTTTAAATTGATCCGACGACACCCGTGTTCATTACCCAGAATGCTATGCAATGATCGATAATGTTTTTTTTTTTTTACCTCTCCCACTCAAGCTGACCCGGAATATTGATGGAAATTCTGACCCGGAATCTAAGAATGTGAATTTGTTTGGTGGTCAAACCACAGTCCACAGGACAATAATATTATTCTTTGACCCGACAGAGGGTCTAGTTAAAAAAACACTTTCCCGTGTCAGAATGACTCGGATCAGGTAAAATAGTTCTGGACCGGCAAATGGTTAAACAACTAACCCTATGAGTTTTACATTCGTTCACATACTTATTTACGACAAATAAATGAAGAACGACATACATGTCCCCCAGCCTCACTAACACCTAGCCATTGCAGCAACTCCGACAAAGATAATATTATATGTGATTTTATCAATATGTATCAATGTGTACGTCTTTCCCGTAGCCTCTCCGACACCTACTAAAGGATGCAACTCTTACCAGTTTACTTGTAATGATGGGTCTTGCATACCAAGTTATTGGCTTTGTGAAAGCATTGTCGATTGCAGCAACCATGAAGACGAAATAGGATGCGTTTATCTAAAGCAGTGCTAACGTATGTTTACATAGTTTGACGAATACATAACGCATATGCTATGCCTGTATTTTCAGTTGCTGGAAATTCGAGACTGACATACCTCAAACTCAGTGTTGGGATGACATGAAAGAAGGCAAAAACTTCAGCGGGAAGATTGAAATAGAATTCAGAATCGTTACCTTTATCGACTTTAAAAATTGAACCAGATATCTTTCTTGTTTCCCAGCTAATAAGACCACAAATGCACCTTATCCACCTGACCCCGTCACATCCAACTACGGCTGCCCACCATGGATGTTTGAATGCTATAATGGTACATGTCTGCCTGAATATGTCAAGTGTAATGGCTATATCGATTGCAGCTACGGAGAAGACGAGAACTGGTGCCGTAAGTTGTTGACTACTCCTATGTATTTGATTTGAAAAACAAAAACGGTTCAGTAGAGTTTGACCAACAGATTGACCATTTGACAACCGGAAAGGCGTCTTTCTCACAGGTTTATTGTGAGCTGCACATCTTTGTTTATACCAGTTCGCACACTCAGATTCTGTCTTTTGATTGGTCGAGGGCACGTCGCATGGTACTTGCTATTGTTAAAATCTTGCCGCGCACGGACAAAAAATTATGCAACAACAGTCTCGCTCTAAAATGTACTGTACGCGATATTTCAACATATTTGCAATATGATGAAATTGAAGGGAAAATGATGAGAGTCCCCGTTAAATTGATCCAGCGACGCTCGTGTGCATTACCCAGAATGCTATGCAACGATCGAAAAGATTGATTGTTTTCTTGACCTCCCCCACTCAAGCTGACCCGGAATATTGATGGAATGTGCATTTGTTTTCTGGTCAAACCACAGGACAATAATATTATTCTTTGACCCGACAGAGGGTCTAGTTAAAAAAAACCCACCTTTCCCGTGTCAGAATGACTTAGATCAGGTAAAATAGTTCTGGACCGGCAAATGGTAAAACAACTAACCCTATGAGTTTTACATTCGTTCACATACTTATTTACGACAAATAAATGAAGAACGACATACATGTCCCCCAGCCTCCCTAACACCTAGCCATTGCAGCAACTCCGACAAAGATATATGTGATTTTATCAATATGTATCAATATGTACGTCTTCCCCGTAGCCTCTCCGACACCTACTAAAGGATGCAACTCTTACCAGTTTACTTGTAATGATGGGTCTTGCATACCAAGCTATTGGCTTTGTGACGGCATTGTGGATTGCAGCAACCATGAAGACGAAATAGGATGCGGTGAGTTTATCTAAAGCAGTGCTAACGTATGTGACTTAGTTTGACGAACACATAACGCATATATGCTATATGCATTTAATTTCAGTTGCTGGAAATTCGAGACCGACATATATCTCAAACTCAGTGTTGGGATGACATAAAAGAAGGCAACAACGTTAGCGGGAAGATTGAAATAGAATTAAGAATCATTACCTTTATCGACTTTAAAAATTGAACCAGATATCCTCCTTGTTTCCCAGCCAATAAGACCACAAATGCACCTTATCCACCTAACCCCGTCACATCCAACTACGGCTGCCCACCATGGATGTTTGAATGCTATAATGGTACATGTCTGCCTGAATATGTCAAGTGTAATGGCTATATCGATTGCAGCTACGGAGAAGACGAGAACTGGTGCCGTAAGTTGTTGACTACTCCTATATATTTGATTTGAAAAAAAAAAACGGTTCAGTAGAGTTTGACCAACAGATTGACCATTTGACAACCGGAAAGGCGTCTTTCTCACAGGTTTATTGTGAGCTGCACATCTTTGTTTATACCACTTCACACACTCAGATTCTGTCTTTTGATTGGTCGAGGGCACGTCGCATGGTACTTGCTATTGTTAAAATCTTGCCGCGCACGGACAAAAAATTATGCAACAACAGTCTCGCTCTAAAATGTACTGTACGCGATATTTCAACATATTTGCAATATGATGAAATTGAAGGGAAAATGATGAGAGTCCCCGTTAAATTGATCCAGCGACGCTCGTGTGCATTACCCAGAATGCTATGCAACGATCGAACAGATTGATTGTTTTCTTGACCTCCCCCACTCAAAATGACCCGGAATATTGATGGAATGTGCATTTGTTTTCTGGTCAAACCACAGGACAATGATATTATTCTTTGACCCGACAGAGGGTCTAGTTAAAAAAAACACCTTTCCCGTGTCAGAATGACTCGGATCAGGTAAAATAGTTCTGGACCGGCAAATGGTTAATCAACTTACCCTATGAGTTTTACATTCGTTCACATACTTATTTACGACAAATAAATGAAGAATGACATACATGTCCCCCAGCCTCCTTAACACCTAGCCATTGCAGCAACTCCGACAAAGATATATGTGATTTTATCAATATGTATCAATATGTACGTCTTCCCCGTAGCCTCTCCGACACCTACTAAAGGATGCAACTCTTACCAGTTTACTTGTGATGATGCGTCTTGCATACCAAGTTATTAGCTTTGTGAAAGCATTGTCGATTGCAGCAACCATGAAGACGAAATAGGATGCGTTTATCTAAAGCAGTGCTAACGTATGTTTACATAGTTTGACGAATACATAACGCATATGCTATGCCTGTATTTTCAGTTGCTGGAAATTCGAGACTGACACACCTCAAACTCAGTGTTGGGATGACATGAAAGAAGGCAAAAACTTCAGCGGGAAGATTGAAATAGAATTCAGAATCGTTACCTTTATCGACTTTAAAATTTGAACCAGATATCTTCCTTGTTTCCCAGCCAATAAGACCACAAATGCACCTTATCCACCTAACCCCGTCACATCCAACTACGGCTGCCCACCATGGATGTTTGAATGCTATAATGGTACATGTCTGCCTGAATATGTCAAGTGTAATGGCTATATCGATTGCAGCTACGGAGAAGACGAGAACTGGTGCCGTAAGTTATTTCCCTTTTCTATATTTATACATTCGACCAATAGATGGACAGATTGTACTATTTGGCAACCGGAAAGGCGCCTGTTTCCCGCTTCCTATTGACAGGTTCACACTCGGCGCGAAAGTGAACCTAAAATACGAATGTTTGAAGTCAGGGCAAGTTTTCGCGCTGCAAATGGCGAAGGGGGCTTGCTTGCTGGACACCACGACACTAGGGTGCGCTGTTCATGATTCTGATGTGTATCTTATGCAACTTACGCCCCTCAAACTTAACATCAAAACGGCGCACTTAAAGCTTTTGTACTTTTCCGCCGAAGTTTTTCAATACTATTGCATACATTTTGTTTGTTGGGAAGTTCGAAAAATACAATCCGCCTTTTTGTTTTTTTTTACAACGAAATACTGGGGGATGATCCACAAGCCCATCCCCTGGTCAAAAAAGAGGGGAGACATTTACCCCCAATCCCCCGGATTTACGCCCCTGCATGTGCATCGGTCCAACATAACCCGCCAGGTTATATGGACAAAGGAAGACAGTATAAGAGACCAAGTTGTATACTTGGGTTGGTGTGGTTTGTTCGATTGGTTATGATGCTCTCTGCCTGATTTCTAGATTCTACTGGGTTTGTTTACAGTAAATGGAAATGTTAATCCATACAGCTATCTTACAGTTTTTCTTGCCTTACTAGGAATTGTTCACTATCTTTCGAATATTGATCAATATAAGAATATTATCAATACAAAATTGAAGGCGTTGGGTCCACTTGTGTCTGGGGGCTGGGCTAGGTAAATTTATGGAACAATCGGATTTCCTTATAAGTCCGTGGGTTGATTCACTGTGGCCTTCCGGTGCAGGAAGATTGAAATAGAATTAAGAATCATTACCTTTATCGACTTTAAAAATTGAACCAGATATCCTCCTTGTTTCCCAGCCAATAAGACCACAAATGCACCTTATCCACCTAACCCCGTCACATCCAACTACGGCTGCCCACCATGGATGTTTGAATGCTATAATGGTACATGTCTGCCTGAATATGTCAAGTGTAATGGCTATATCGATTGCAGCTACGGAGAAGACGAGAACTGGTGCCGTAAGTTATTTCCCTTTTCTATATTTATACATTCGACCAATAGATGGACAGATTGTACTATTTGGCAACCGGAAAGGCGCCTGTTTCCCGCTTCCTATTGACAGGTTCACACTCGGCGCGAAAGTGAACCTGAAATGCGAATGTTTGAAGTCAGGGCAAGTTTTTGCGCTGCAAATGGCGAAGGGGGGGGGGGGTGTGGTCTTTCTTGCTGGACACCACGACACTAGGGTGCGCTGTTCATGATTCTGATGTGTATCTTATGCAACTTACGCCCCTCAACCTTTACATCAAAACGGCACACTTAAAGCTTTTGTACTTTTCCGCCGAAGTTTTTCAATACTATTGCATACATTTTGTTTGTTGGGAAGTTCGAAAAATACAATCCGCCTTGTTGGTTTTTCACAACGAAATACTGGGGGATGATCCACAAGTCCATCCCCTGGTTAAAAAAAAGATGGGAGATACCGCCACCCCTGGATTTACTACACCCGACCGCAAACCTTTTATTCAATATTTGCCAAATGATGACATTATAAACAAAAATGGAGAGTCCCTTTTAAATTGATCCGGCGACGCTTGTGTGCATTACCCAGAATGCTTTGCTATGATCGAAAAGGTTGATTGTTTTCTTGACCTCTCCCACTCAAGCTGACCCGGAATATTGATGGAAATTCTGACCCGGAATCGTTCAGAGTGTGGATTTGTTTTGCTGGTCAAACAACAGGTGATTTTGACCCACACATGGATACAATTCTTTGACCCGGAAAAGGGTCTAGTTAAAGAAACCTTTTCCCGTGTCAGAATGACCCAGATCAGATAAAAGAATTCTGACTCGACAAATGGTTAAAAATCGTGACCTTATGAATTATATTCATTTACATAATAATTAAAGAGTGACACACAATCATGTCCAGTAGCCTCCCTAACACCTAGCCATTGCAGCAACTCCGACAAAGATATGGGTTATGATGACAAACACACATCAAATTATTTGCCGTATTCTAATATTATTGAGTTTAGGAAAAGGGCGAAAAATAGTAAAAACATTATTGTTTTATTTCTTTAGCCGGTCCGACACCCATATATAGCCAAGGCTGCAACCCTGACCAGTTTACTTGCGATGATGGAAAATGCATACCAAGTTATTGGAAATGTGACGGCATTGTCGATTGCAGCAACAAAGAAGATGAAACTGGATGCGGTGAGTTCAAGTTAAACGGGATAAACATCTGATTCTACACGTTCAAACAAATGAACGATATCAATCATCGCAAGGGATATGTAGATCATCCTCTTTCCAAGAAGAAACCTCTCCTTCCAAACGTACGATAAACTAAACCAACCAAAACACACTTGTTCCATTTATATCAGTATGTTAAAATATAAAGCAAATCAAGTTAATATATAGGATTTGCCAGTAACATCAATCATTCAAATTCCATGACGCCACACTTCAATTTCGTTCAAGACCGTCGTTGAACTCCATTTATGTATCCCGACTTTCAATTCACACCAATTCATTTCATTTTGGGCTGATGTAATTGGCGAATGTAGTATTCTGAATCGTGCATATCAAAATTCAGAAAGTTCGTCACTGTGGAGATTTACTTTTCTTGTGTAACGTCCAGGCGGGGTTCGAGGACAACTATTTTGCAAAGCATGGATGGTCAATAGTTAACCTTTTGTGCATTTGTTGTTTCTCAATTAAAGAACAAAGAACACCCTAAGATACATGTAAAGCAAATGTTTTTTAAGTTCGCCAATAATTCACACATGTTCCGCCTGATTCCATGGTCTTCTGCACATATATTTACCCTGACGTGCAACAATAGAGCATTCACGATATCAGATGACCCGGAAGATTTAACGACGTCGAAGAAATTAGCAACATTATGACAGTCACTTTTCAGCTTGCCTTTAATGAAATTGAATCACCAAAGTATTTAAATTAATGATAAAACATGTCTTGCCTCTATCAATTCAACGCTTATCTCCACATTAGACGAATTTTCCGAAACTTCAACGAATCAGAATGATAGACGCGCGAATTACATTGGACTAAATAATTTTAAAATCTATTGATAAACTTGGAAATCTAAACAAAATTTAACAATGGAGCCCAACGGCGTTCGGTATCGAAAGTACAGCATCTATAAGCAGATTTTCATTGAATTTAAATAATGCAAGTATGACTGGGAAAACCTTTAATATATCAGATTTATTGTCTTATATGCGTCTGATACATTTTGTTTAATTTGAATTAAAACAGCAAAGGTCCTAGCACAAACATCAAACATACATGCATTGCTTTTGTCATATTATACCCAGGTAACAAAACCACAGGAAGTCCTTCCTACGAGCCTTCTTATTACGTCACACCCGACTACGGCTGCCCACCATGGATGTTTGAATGCTATAATGGTACATGTCTGCCTGAATATGTCAAGTGTAATGGCTATATCGATTGCAGCTACGGAGAAGACGAGTACGGGTGCAGTAAGTGTCATCTTCCTATGTTAGGGCAAGAAGTCTCAGTAGTAACATCCATCAATATTCAAGACGCAAAAAATAAAACTAAAGACATATATCCGCTCTAACACCAATATACTGATGTAAAATTCTGATATTACATACAAAGGAATGCATAATATGAACCTTCGCAATAAGTATGTAGAAAATTGTGAAGATGCTCTTGTTGACAGTTTTCCAGAATGTAAACAAAAATGAAACTCGTCAGCCCGTTCAATATCGAGAGTTCAAAAGCGAGATCACGTAACCCCAATCTAGGAGAGTTTTACTGGCTTTCCATTCAGTCTCGCATTCACTATTTAAATCATTCTTCGCAGGCAATACATTTTCCTCAAAACAGAACTGATTCATCCCTGAACGACCCCTTAGAACTGCCCCAAAACATCTGTTAACCCACAGACCAAGACATTTGCATGCAATGTTGCAGCTCTAATACCCTGCTCCCAACCAAACTTTGAACTGTGTGGTAATGGGAATGCATGCTGAGTGTTTGTATGTGTGACGGGGGAGCCGATTGCAGACAAGCATATAACCAGAGTGGATGTGCAGCGGTTGAAGAAGCATGCACGTCAAGTGTGTGGAGCCATTTCTCGATCAACGAATGTTCTGTTATTTAACAATACAGCAGTTGTGCTTCATATCGAAATTCGAAAAAAAAAATGAGATGAGCAATAACACAAGGGGAAAGAGAGCACAATTCAATGTATTTACTGCAGATGTGTTCAGAAGAACAATTTTATCATTTATGCAAAAACATCCATCAGTATCACTATGACGAAAAAAGTGCAATTCATAAATAACGTTTAAATCATTAAAATAGATGAAATGAGCTGGTTGGAGAGAGCAACAAAACGTAAATCAACGAAACGCGCCCGAAGATCTGGCCAGCCCCAGAGAACACACCGCAAGTAAACCAATGTGAGTACGCCCTCTACAGTTGTATAACGGTGTCTGACAGGCAACGGCCTGATATTTTTGTTAATTGGGAGAGAAAAACCCGAAATGTCATCAATACGCTTCCAGTGTGTTTTTCTGAAATCACGGAAAAATGCAAGCTAAAGGAAGCATCCAGTTATTACAGAAAAAAATTCAGACATGTTCAGACAATTTATTTGTCAAATTGCTTCATCGAGTATATAGAAGAAAGAGTGCCGACTCGAATTCCGTACGTCTTATTTTAATCTTGCAATTTATAGAGGCAACGTCAGAGAGGGATATTAATTGAGTCTACACTCGCATGTTAGCTTTCAGAATTTATTTTTCTGTCATTAGTTTCCTATATTCAACGACCATGAAATGTTTCAGGAAATGAAAAAAATAATTTGATAATTCACGTCTCCTCTAAAAGGTACACAGAAGATGACAAAAATAATTCAATTAATCAGTTCTCCATAATGGTACACGGGAAATGGAAAAAAAATAATTAAATGCTTTTGCTTAAAGGCACATGGAAAATAAAAGAACAATGATTATTCACTTCTCTTTAAAGGTGCACACAAAATCTAAGAGTTTCATTGTCCTAACAGATTTAGCGAGATTGAGGGCTAATTAATGACGGATGGTTGATCAATTGAAGCAAGAAAGGTGCATGATATGGATGGATAGATGACTGGATTGATATATCGATCAGTCGATCGATTGACGATCCATCCATCAGTCGATGTCTTATCTTTTCCAGGGTATTCCCAAACAGTCATATTCTGGTTTCCGCTGTGTACTGAAATTATAAACACAATTAAAAGCACACGAAAAGAAGATAATTCAAACATTATGCCCTGTGTTAAAGCCACTCAATTAAATTTGCTTTTCGATAAAATGTCATGAAAGGTCCAAATCAAGGTAAAACTACGAAGCCAATTACGGGAACGGTAAAAGCCCGCTGAACGTAAACATAGTTCGCACTTATTGCTTTGTGAAGTTGTCAAATGCATTATATGTGACACGCGCCAGCTCATAAGGAGTTCGTGCACGCTGAACACTAAGGCACATATGGAGATAAAGTGATCCTACGTGATGTACATTTACAGCAGACTCTTTTGTCGAGAAATTGGGCTCAGATAACTACCTAGACAATTTTATGTATTTGAAATTGTCTTGATTCGGCAGTTCTGCATGATGTTGTAAAATAAATGCATTCAATTAAAAATTACAAGTGTAACATAAAATACACAATGTTAATATAAGGCAAGTGACGGGCAATATCGCGCCCGTTAAGCCCGACTAACAAGTTTTCATTATTGTTGTACTGAAACAGGTTGTGAACGAAGGACGAATAACGGAGTGCAACCTGACGGACTGGAATTGAGTGAGACCAGTCCACGACAGGATTTAATTTCTTTAAAGACAACGTAGATAAGAAAAAAATGCCTTCATTAATATTGGAACTCAATCCCTCAATTTTGCCAAAAATTGATTCCATGTAATAATTGCTTCTCAATACTCTGTTGTTTTAATCAAATTTTATTTTAATGAAACTGAGAAACGTGTACACGCTTGTTGGGAGATTCGAAAGCTGTTCAATTTTTTTGACAAAAAAGTGTCAAGGTCACTCTGAGGGTACTATCTGATTCTACATTTAAAACGTATAAGAAAAAATGCCTTCATTAACATTGGAACAACAATCTCTCAATTTTGCCAAAAATTGATTCCATGTAAAATTTGCTTCTCAATACTCTGCTGTTTTAATCAAATTTTATTTAAATGAAACTGTGTTTTATGGTGGTTCAAACGACAAAGTAATAATGAGAATTGTGTACACGCTTGTTGGGAGATACGAAAGATGTTCATTTTTTTGACAAAAAAGTGTTCAAGGTCACTCAGAGGGTACTTTCTGAATCTACATTTAAAACGTATACATTGATGGATTGATTGTAAAGAATTTCTTATTCTCTTCCTTTTTTTAAATTGATAAGTGAATAATTGTTAACAATTTGAGGTGAATTTTTTCAATAGAAAAGTTGTAGCTTAAAAGCAGATTGCGTTTATTGGTTTCTTTGTGACTTTGGTGTTTGTCTTCATTCCAATATCTTACAACGATCGGGGACGCTGGTTTTCATTTTACATGACACCACAGGGAGCGAGCTGTTGTCACGTCAACGGGACCACATTTCATCTTACCAACGGAAAATAGACAATATCACATCGTCTCTGCGTAAATATACACTGAAAAATTGCCTGGATTAATTTTACCAAAGAAAGGGTGAAAACTGTAACTACCCAAACATGGGTTGTTCTATAACCAATTGTTTGGATTAGAATTTCTGCTAAATTCAACCAAAACCTGTGGTCATTCAAGACCAAATTTAATTTGGTTTTGTATGACTACAACTTTTGGTTGATTTAACATAATTATAACCCAAACAATTGGTTATAGAACAACCCAAGTTTGGGTGGTTCCAGTTTTCACCCTTTCTTTGATAAAATTAACCCAGGCAATTTTTCAGTGTATATTCGACTACCAACCGTTGGGTGCTAGATTTCCAATGGGGATTCCAACACCTCTGGCCCATTGGTGGTATCTTACACTGAGTTGCAAATGTCGGCCCTTTATAGTTGGGGTAGAAGCAACATTAATTTTGTTGCTCGTGACTTTTCAATGGCATTTCTTAAAGTCTGGCACAAGGGTCTGGTCCAGGTTACAGACCGGGGGGGGGGGGTCTTGAAATTTAGCCAGTAACGATTTTTTTTTTTGCGACCCCGGTGAGTTGATAGTCTGAGTATCACCCATTGTCCAACGGAGCCCTCTGTCTCCGGTCCAACGTCTGACACATCTAAGCATGCAAATGTATGCGACCCCACACGCCAGCCAATCAGAGTCCAACATTACATCATTTCATTTCCAAATCTGGACTAAACTGTTGATTGGTCAGTCTGGATACCTTTGTTTTTGTAATACAACAATGGACATAGATATCTTATAAAACCCGACATTGGTTTTCAAAACGGATTACCGAAGACCCGACAATAGAAGGTGCCCGCAGAATGGTCAGAATCTCGAGGTCAAGACGCAGTCTCGTTGTTTAATCAATCACTCAATCTGCTCGCATATAATATACCCCTGCTGTGCAAGGGGATATTCCATAGACTAGTGAATTGGGGGAGGCTGTGCATGCAATGCTACAATACTGGACATAATCTGGCACTATAGGTGGCGCTGTTGGATTAAAGGTACTGGGAATTAAAGTGGTCAATGAGAAAAGGGTCATGTCCGAATATGTCGAAATCTAGTGGGGGTTGTCATAACAACTACGTGGCAACATGCCGACAAGAGATAACCGTAGGTCCGCAAGCTCGTCCACATGGCGTTGAGTAATACAGCAACACTAGCTGCTCTTTCGCCCTGATTGATCTTTCGACGACCTGCGTGGGAAGTCGCTTCTAACTATTTCAGAGTTTTAATATCGAATTAATATCTTAGGATTAAATTAGTTGGTGCGACTCTGGAACGCTAATGTTGAACAGGTGTATACAGCACCCATACGACCTTTCATTCAAGGGTCTGTGCGATAATTGTTTTCTTAGGAACACATTTTGTACAACTTTCTTCTGCTCTCAAATGTAGAAAAACTATTTGACATACCGTTTTGGCGAATTTTATTGAAAAGCGCACTTCTTAAAACTGTTAAAATTTTACATGATTTTCAAGACAACGGATGGCGCTGTTGCTGTGATGTCATTTAATAAGAAAGACACTGTTCAGTTTAAGCTTTTTTGTTTTTTTGATTGCTCATTGGCTAACTGCCGTGTACCTGCACAGAAACAAATCACCGAAGAAAAGAAAATATATGACAACAATATAATCAAAATTCTTACAACTGTTTGTGCTGAAATAGCTGTTACATTGAGGTTTCTGCGCGGAATGACATCACAGTTTTGCTCATGAATATGGAAATTTGCATTTATCAATTTAAAAAAAAGAAGTAATAGATATCTTCGGTTGTTTCATAAAGTAAAGGTTATTTAATCAATTAACAATTTCCAAATAATTATCGGTTAAATCAAAATTGTACAGTTTTCTCACCTCATGCTAATTTGTGCCGCTTGGCTGATTTCCCCGCGAAGTTTAACAATCGTGGATTATTTTGCACTCCGGCACTTATATTTCATGCGATTCAGACACGTCCGAATTTGCCAGATTCATTGTGCATAGAAACATTTAGACAACTTTTTTTGGTAGAAATATTTTTCAAATCCGTAAGAGGATAAAACATCATTCACATTATTTCGTTATTTAGACTGATTATAACGCACGACCATCCCCCGAAAAAAACAACAAATTCTTTATACTTTACGCGTTCGGAGTGTACATTAATGCTAGTGAAGAAGACGCTAGGCTAAGGAAGTTGAATAAGTATGTAGCCACCCTTAGGTGTTTCCGATTTTGCATTGATGTCACGATTGGTGGTTCGTGCAGCATGTATTACGTTTTATACATAATTTCTCTATTTTCAACCATCCATGGAAGGTATCCTCATTAAAGATCAAAGACGTGAGTTTAATTGATATTCCTCCAAGAACTCCTCCAATATATTAAATTCAATTAATTACTATCTATTGAGCACGTAGTCAAAATAGGTACGACAGAATTCAACTATTCGCTGTCATACCTAATGGATGACTGTATGGCAGGTCGGTTGACTTATGTCAACACACAGGCGCAAACCTAATTTCAATTGACACATTTGCTGGAGACGAGCGGGAGTGCGCAAGCTGCATGCAGTGGCATCTTGCTGTCCGTAATGGAGCTAGGCTTTTACCGTATAGAAGCGGACACTTGACAACGGAGTAATCTGACCCCATCTGACATAAAAAAGATGCACATGGTAACCTATAAAACACTTTGTGTGTAAATACTTCAGCGATCAAAACGCGAGTCGTTCAATTGTCAGCGAAGTTGAAGTTCATTCGTTGCTTGGTTGGCCAGGGATGAGATGAAAACATCCAGTCCAATAATGGACGCTAATTGATCAGGCAGGAAGGGACAAGTGCTGATAAAGATTTCTCCCTTTTCACACAAAGTGTCCAAGAAGGAGGCATAAAAGGGTCACCATTACGCTGTTGCTAAAGCGCGTAACCGGCCCGTCAGCGCCATAAATGCTATCCAAACGCCTGCCAGCAAACAACTCAAATATTTGTCGTCCATCTAAATAATACCGTAGGCCGCAATTATTCGTCATTCTCTCTTACATTTTCACTTCACTCTGTTGTGAAGGTGCCGGGGTGAAACGGCAAGGATAATCTATCAGTAAAGACGCTGACGGCGCCAACCCGCTTGCGTTTTCAGCATTTTATGAATATGTTCAATGTTGATACAATCGTCGGTTACCCACATAATCTGGTCAGCAAATAGGATTATTGCACCAACCATTATGTTGACTGGAAAATTCATCAATTCCAACATTGGGACTATGTTGCCACTGACACGTTTACCAGAATAAGAACATATGTGTGGTACAGTAGTATACGTATTTGAAACGTTGATTTATAGCAAAATAAATTCAAGGTGTCGTTGGAGAGGCGTATTAAAGGCGGGCAAATATAAACCACGATGTAGGCCTAATATCTGGCACAACTGGTACCAAATTCCTTACTGAAATACATGTATACGATATATTTATTAAATAAACGAAATGGTTCGCGTAAGAACACTGAACATATAGTTTCTCCTCTTAGGTATTATGTCTAGTTTCAATCGTTTAACGATTCCATATTTATTTTAGATTATTTTGTGTGTTAAAACATAATCTGTCAAATGTCAACACAACAGTGCTATTGATACGATTTTTTGTTCTCAGACGAACTGAAGGCATCAGATCACAAAATGTTTAGAATTAAGCATTAACGACAAACAGGTTGGAGGCCATATAGAGCTGACACACAACGTGATGTACAGAATACATCCGACGAAAGCAGCGATGTGTAGCTTCTGCACTCGTGACGCTAAGTATACGGTGGTTAGATGCCTAATGAAAAAAGTAAAAATTCGGAGAGTTGAATTCGCACCCTTGAATAGCTTATCGAATTGCATCCTATAAGGACCATCGGCGCCACTTTCACCGTCATCATCAGCATCTCCACATGAAATCTTTTAATCTTTATCATTTTTATGGTTGGTTATTGTCGCCAAAGTGTTTCACTTTAATGCCAGTCCCAATTTGCCGCTATTCTTTTTAACGGTTACACATTGGTTTTATCGACTCAATAATCGTGGATCTCTCTTCGTTGCTGTTGGGGCGTGTTTCTTTTTCTGTTTCAACGGACATCTTAAATAGCGATGGAAGGATGCGGGGATAAGCAGACAGCGGCACTTTTTTTCTGATAAAAATGTGAAACTCGAACTGATGAATTAACATGCGGTGACTTTTCTGACGTCAGTGACTATTTCTTTTCGTGGATATTGGAAAAATATCGTGGAAAAGTAACATCAACACTAATGTAATAAAGGTTAACTAGTGTTGCTCCAGCGGCCATACGGAGCTAGATTGCATACGCACGTCCGCACGTATAGGGACCTTACTATATAATACTTGCAGCATTACATCCAACTGTTTTAGCAGTGAAGCGCTTGGTCCGGTAACGTACAGTTTGCAATTCAAAGCACGGCAACAGTATAGTTGCACGGACACCACTTTTGTTAAAAATACTAAGACTTTGGGATTCCATTTGGTGCACGACAGACTATATGGACGAATGTATGGACGGATCGCTGCCTGATTGCTGCCTGTGACAGACATCATGGAGTGGCGTGTATCCTGTCAGTACATCGCTTGTTGCTTGTTGGCAGTCTTTGTAGTGTATAGCCGCCAAGGGTTTCCAGGTATGTGCAG